AAATCACCACAAATTAAATAACAAAAAAGAGTAAGAAGCTCAGAGTCATAAAAATATTTTTTATAAAAAAAAAGGAAAATAAATAAACTACTTTTTTTATCTTACATCTAAGGGTTAAAAATACGGGAGTCGCAGCTGCACTTCCACTCCAAAGGTTTGTAGTTAGAGTTGTACTGGCTGTATGCAGGCTGATCGGGCGGCCGGCGGTTCTCTTCCCCCAGCCTGCTGACCCGGCCGGTCGGACCGGGCATGGTTGGGACCTGGACCGCCTGGCAAGGATTGCAGGCGTTGCACCGGTTGTGGCAGCTCGGAGGCGTCGACCCCAACCGGATTTTCTCCTCCTCCACCCCCTGTAACTCCATAAATTACCGATTCTAGCTAAGCTCTAAGAAATAAGATCAAATGGGGAAAAAAGTGCAAATTTGAAAGTACCTTATAAGGAGGTGAAGTCATGAACTGCCATTGGCCGACGCAGGAGACTGAGTTGTGGAGAAGAAAGAAATGAAGAAGTGCAGTGATGAAGAAGACGCCATGGCTCATGATCAGTGAGCTCATTTGTCCATTTGAGGTAGAGAAAAAGCTAGCGTTAGAGAGAAGTTTTGCTTTAGAGTCTTCGTCTTTCCTTCATGTTATTTCCAAGGAGATCCTCAAGTGAGGGAGGACATAAGTGAGTGTCGCCTTCACTGTGTTAGGAAAAAATAGAGGCTTGGAAAGGCACAAGACAAGTGATAGAAACAAGTGGGAGGCACCCATAATCCATAACCTCTCTCTCTCTCTCTCTCTCTGTGTTCCATTGAAAGTTGGCGAGAGACTATGAAATGGGAACCGAAAGAAAGAGCTTGTGCGCCTGGTGAGGTGCATTGAATGCCTAACAATCACTTTCATTTGGGGCTGCGAGTGTGAGACTTTGACTACCAACCAAATGAATGAAAGAATAACTAGGCTTTCAAGTAGTTAAATCTCTAGTTAGTTGGTCGAGCACTTTGATCTCCATTGTAAAACCTTAAGTTTTAAATTTTCGTTCTTTATGTCGTAATTCAATATTTATTTTTTCAAGAAAATAAAAAGAAGTATGATTTGATATCTAAGATTTTATTTAGGATAATTTTCTTAGGGCTTTATAAAATAACTATTTGATATAAAATTTTCAAATTTTAAAAAAATTATACTAAGAAATTGCTTCTTAAAACAGTAAGAAAACTGTCATAAACGAAGTTTAAGTTTTTATTGATATTTAAATTCAGCATAATTTCAATGCATTTTATATGTATATTATTGTGCATTTTAGACATTTTTATGAATAAAATTTATTTTTTGTTATTTTTATAGTAAGTTAGAATTTCTCAACTCATACAAATTAGAAATCTTAAAAAAATTTATATGAAGGGAAAAAAGTTCATAAAGTATAAGTAAACCAAAAAGCTTTCATGATTTTGTAAAAGTTAATATATGGAACATTTGTCAAATAATTGAAGACATTTCGTCTCAAAATGTAACACACAAGCAGTTAAAACAGTTGATATTGATGGCACCAAGCTATGTCACCACAATTGTCCATAAAAAATACAAAAATGGTCCTAATAGATTATCGATCAGTTCTCTGCAGTTAAATTTTAGCGATTTCATATTTGAAAAAAGGTAGAGAGAATAAGTAGATGGCGAAGTTTTCTAAATCAGTTTAGTTTTCTGAAGAGGAAAATGTATTCACCAATACGGAAGGTCATAAAGATGAGCTATTATTATGTACAGAAATTGAACGGGAGAACCGTTCGGTTAAGCACTGGATACTCAGCGGTATCCAGGAGTACCCAGCAATGGGATGATGTGGCGTATTTTTACTGGTCTCCAGACATCCTCCAGACTCCGCACAGAATAATAAATCCATAAATAGAGGGCAATAAAGAAAAGAAAAAAATGGGAAGTCCTTACAAAGAGAACAAATAATGTTTCAAGTATAAGAAGAAATGGAGATTACATTTGCTTTACCCATACTTAATTGTCTTAGCTCTCTAGTTATATATATATATTACAAAATTTGCCAGCATATAATTAAGTAGAGTTTGTGGTCACAAAGTTTGAGCTTTTCCCATATCTCTCACCCTCTCACTTTTGAAGGTCACATGATATAGGGGGTATTTATAGGTGTTGTTTCATGGTGCATTCAGGATGGTTGAATCAAACAACTAATCTTGATGCTTAGATCCTTTAGATGTGTTTGAAGATGGAGATAGAAGAAGAGGTCTCTTAATGATCATAGAGTGGAATGAGTTCAATTGATTGTATTTGATAAGTCGATTACTCATATAAAATGAACATAGGTTTGACTAGCGAAACACATTTTTAAAAATTATGGCTTGATAACAATACTTGTTTAAAAGGAAAATCAATTCTCATTTCGTGCATCTTTCTTCATCTTACTTTATCATGCCTCCTTATTGTAATAGTTTTTCTTCTTATAACTTAGAGATGTTTCCTATTTTAAGGTAGTAATGCATGAGAGGAAGTATAGAAGCTTATTTTTTTCATTTCATGTAGGTCTCAAATGAAGGTGGGAGTATTCGAGAAAATGCCAATGTCAAGTCCCTTGACCATCCTCTTCTCTCACATGAGTGAATGCTTTAGGATATAGACAATCAATCCAAATCGATCTGAGTAGAACTTATACACATTCAATCATCACAGCCCAATTTAAACTTAACATATATCCAAATCTATCAAACTTTAATTTGGTTTTTATAAAGAAAGAAAAAATTTTTGGAACGGTGCTTCTATCTGCTGCCACTCTAAAAAGAATACTTAGTGGCGTAACTAATTACTCTGCGAAATCTAGCGAGGTCACTCACCAGCATCAAGCTCATACTTGCTTTGCCCAACTGAAGAGGTGAGGTCGTAGTATAGGAGAATCGAATCTAGGATGAGAGTTATTAACCGTGCCCGCCCACCACCCCTCCTAAATCTCGATGGATTTTGTAAGGAAATTTTAATCATCAAAATGAAATAAAACAACTTTATGTTAAGGATGTCTTCTATTTAATTTACCCTTTTTCTTTTGTTTTCAATCAATCATGAAAAGGCTCCATCTGCCGTTGAGCTTTCATATTTTAAGTCAGGCTTTTAACTAAATTTTTCTCAGGACCACTGGCCGTGTAGCCTGCAGTAGCTGGCAGAAGAGTAGCAGACGCATTGATATGCACTCCAGAAGAAAAAAAATGGCAGGTAAAAAGCTGATGTGTCTTGAACCTTTGGACAAGTGCATATCCCACATTACTGGAAGGATTTTTCTTTTTTCTTGTGAAGATTCAGAATAAAAATAATATTTGAAAGAAAAATTGTATTTTAAAATAAAAATTGTCAAAAACTTTATCAATTTATTAAAAAAAAAGGGAGCCCCAATATTCATGTATCCAATATTTTTTTTTTTTGGGAAGATGAACATCAAATTTAGATCACCACAGTAAAAAATCGAGCCCTCAATTGCAGGCAGATGCATCTTTCAACGTGTATATTATGATATTAATTTGAAAAAATTGTTATATATTAAATGATTTTACAAATAATATTGGTGAAATTTTTTGTATTTGACATAATCTATCAAATTGTGCATATTTTTTTTAATATTTAATAAAATATAATTTTTTTTGCTTTTTCTTACTCATTTATTTTTAGAATTTAAAATATAATAGTTTGGTTAGAAATAATGTACTTTATTAATGAAATATTTTATTTTATTTATATGCATAATTTTGTATAAAATACTAAGTTTAAAACAACTTTCTTATTGTTTGGTTTTTAAGACCGTAATTATAATTTCTGTTTGACCACTATTTTTTCATTGCTTTATCAATAAATTGATTTCTACAACAACTTTTAAAATTTATTTACTCTATAGCAGCTTTAAAAAATAGTGAAAAAGCCATCCCAAATAAAGCCTTAGTGTTTCATTTAAAAAATATTAATGTTGAAAAAGACCTATGTCATGACATATCTTATGTCAGAGTTTTCACCTGCAAATAGGGGCGAAAAATCGGCCTTAATTTTCCGCTCGGGGGAATTTTTAAGTGATTGTTAGTGTCGCCTCAAATTTGGCTCTATTCTTCACTATAAAAAAAATGAGTCAATAGAAACCCAAATTTATTCATATCCTTGATTGTTGTATTCTTCACATATATATCGGGGATTCAAGAAGTCTACGCGCCCTGGCAGGGTTCGATCGGGTCCCACAAATTTTGGTTGTAAGGATATTTTTGAAATTCAAATAAATAAATAAAATGACAAAATTCTATTTACTATTTGCTGGAGACAATTGTCTAAAGACCATAATATTTTAAAATTTTTAGGCAAGGTAATAAATTACCTAAAGAATAATATATCTAAGAATTTTTTCAGTTTTTTGGGGGGCAATTCCGCAGTCTATCATAACTCATAACATTACACATTTTTATGACATTAATGATCGACAAAAATAATGATCTATCTTGGTGCAATCAATTAAGACATAATTATCCTTTTAATTTATTTAATTTTTGGGATATAAGTTTTAGGCTTCCAAGATAAATAGTTAAGCAAAAATTGCACAAGATGTGCTTTTAATATCAGAACTAAATATATTTATCTGGAAGTTGATTACATTCAAGAACTTACTACTACATAACATCATGAGAGAGATTTACTTAGGTGGGAAATTAGCATATATCTTATAATCCATCACTTAAATAAGATTGCCCAACTCATTAAATAAGAGTGTTAATACTAAGATCTATGTAAATTTTGTTTGTTATCTTTAACAGAAGAGTGCTAATCTCTTTTTTGTGCTATTAAGTTTTGAAATCCTTAACTGAAAAAGTAGTGATGTATTTTTCTATTAGTTTCTTTAAAAGAAGTTTTAAGACTAATTATAGTTGTATTATTTTACTTTGTAAAAATTTCAGCCTTAACAACCTAATATAAAAGAAAAAAAAAGGTCATTACATAGTAGTTCATATGAAAGCCATAAACAAGCATTTGCATGAATAAATTAATAAGCTCATTTAACAGTTCATTCTTATGATTATCAATTGCCACATAGATATGATATTATTCTCAGGAAACCTTCACTAATAAAATTTTGAGCATTAATTCTCAGCTTATAACAATCAAATATCACCATATTCAAATTAAGACTTCGTTTGGGACGGAATTTTTTGGTACTAGGAAGCTGCTTTAAGAAGCAATAAAAAAGCCGTCCCAAACGAAAATGGCTTTATGAAAGGTTATTGAAAAGTACCTTAAGTATCTCATATGGTTTGTGGTCACTCAATCACACCAGAAATATTGCTGATAAGCTGTTGGGCTTCAACAACAAGCCTCTTAACCACTTCAGCAGCTGGAAGAATCTCCTTAATAAGCTCAACCCCAGCGCCAGCATACATCACCATGCTTTCTATGTCCCCAATTGTTGTGGCATTCGGAACAGTGCCAGCAAAGCGTCTTATCTCTTTTGTCTGTCAAACAGAAAATATAGGAGTTTCAGAAATAAGCAGCCCAACTTCAAATGATAACTGGTCCATGCAGCACATCTTAGCCTCTGTTGATTAGAAGCTAAGGATACCAACTAAGTTATATTGAATCTAGACTTTGCATATGCTATGTATGTGAATTTGTGATTAAATTTGTTAAAAGGACCCAAAATAGTGATAACTACTTCTACCACATGCACACAAAAGAATGAAAAACCTGATTGAAAAAGGAAACTGGATATAGACGTATCGAAGTAAAACAGTAAGATATTATCTGCTGGAATGTGAATGTTCCAAGCCATCAGAACAACTTCGACAAAGAAATCTGTGTATAAAGTACTGAATATGCACTTTTTTCTTTTATTTATTTATTTTGGAAGGGGCGGAGAAATATTGGTGAGAACAGAAGATCAAATATATTAAGGCTTCGTTTGGGACGGTTTTCTTGATGCTTCTTAAAGCTGCTTTCTAATACAAAAATTTAAATTTTTGTAATAAAAAGCTGCTTTAAGAAGCAGCGAGAAAGTCGTGCCAAATGAAGCCTAAATGAAAGAAAACGTTTAGTTACAGCATAAGGACAAAGAAAGAGCATATATATTACAAACAGGAACAGTTCATTCTTATGATTATCAATTGCCACATAGATATGATATTATTCTCAGGAAACCTTCACTAATAAAATTTTGAGCATTAATTCTCAGCTTATAACAATCAAATAGCACCATATTCAAATTAAGACTTCGTTTGGGACGGAATTTTTTTTGTACTAGGAAGCTGCTTTAAGAAGCAATAAAAAAGCCATCCCAAGCGAAAATGGCTTTATGAAAGGTTATTGAAAAGTACCTTAAGTATCTCATATGGTTTGTGGTCACTCAATCACACCAGAAATATTGCTGATAAGCTGTTGGGCTTCAACAACAAGCCTTTTAACCACTTCAGCAGCTGGAAGAATCTCCTTAATAAGCTCAACCCCAGCGCCAGCATACATCACCATGCTTTCTATGTCCCCAATTGTTGTGGCATTTGGAACTGTGCCAGCAAAGCGTCTTATCTCTTTTGGCTGTCAAACAGAAAATATACAAGTTTCAGGAATTAGCAGCCCAAATTCAATGATAACTGGTCCATGCAGCACAATAAAAATCAATAAAAATCATATGTAGATCCTCCTTATTCTCTCCACAGTCTATACTTCTCCATCAAACCTCTCAATAAATGTATAGCTTCCATAGTAGACCTACCTTGCATGAATCCAAATTGATTTTGAGAAACATTAGTGTCACGCTGCAACCTATGCTCCATAACTCTCTTCCGTAATTTTAAAGTATGACACATGAATTGAATACTTTTAAAAAAATCTTTAAATAATTGATAACTTTATTTCAAATAAAATTATTATTAGGTACAAAATTAGAGAAAAAAAATAAAAAATTATTTTCTTATAATGATATTATCATATACACCAAATAAATTTGATATCTTCATTTTTCCTAATCATATGTAATATTATGAATTTCACAAAAATAATAGAATATATCGTTTTCCAAATAATTATCTTGAGTAAATCACCACATACAATAAATATATGAGAGTCTACGCAATTAACAATTTAACATCAACAAGAGGTTGTAATAAGTAAAAAACTAAGGCAAGTATTATGGTTGAGTGAAAAAGAAAGACATCAATGCATTATGGTTTGGCCACCAATATGCCTACGCTCACTTCCAAAATCCTCTCAGGTTTTTACACTATTCTGATATTCTCTCATTTGCTACCATAAGGAAAAAAGGCCTATGTTCTTCACGGATAATAAAAAATCCACAATAATTAGACTCAAAGCAAAAAATACCCTACTACTAGCATAACCCGCTATTTAATCAGTATTCAATTCAAGACATCAAATTGGATTATATTGAACACAAGCTGCTATGTAACCAAGCACTTTTTAAACTCTTTTAAATCCAAAAGCTTTTTCTAAAGAACAGCAAAACAAAGCTCTCAAAAGCCACATATTTAAAATTGAAAATGTTAATTTTGTAGGAAAATATAATTTGGAGAAGGAATAAATTCTCTCTTAAGGTTTGCAAATTTTGAAATCTCATCAAAGTAACTGGATACATCCATAGGAATATAATAGAATAATCATTAGTCTTCCAATCAACCAAATCATTAATTAATGCTAATTAAAAATTCAAATTCAAATCTAGGGGTTGATTATACATTGCAATCATGATCATATAGCACGATCGGTTCAAAAATATGATCAAACTATCAATTCATTCAAAATATGTAATTTAATAAATTAAATTAGGAAACCTATTATACAGTGCGATAAGCATTGTACGATAAGATTAGTTTAAATTTTATATAACATAATAATATAAATTGATTATGCAAATCATATAACATGAACATAAGATAAATTTTTATCCAAGAAAAAGGGAGCGTTTCTTCCAATTGTTTGCCCACATTTGACATGAGCAGCTAGAACTGTCATAAAGTTTTGCACCTTTTGTTTAACGTAATCTTCTATTCTCATTTGTTTAAAGATTTTGAAATTTCTATTAATCTTTTTTTTTTTTAATTCTACCAATAGAAATGTATTTTTTTCATTATCATTTCAAACATCAAATAGCCATCCAATGTGTAATCTACCTCTGACATTGTCAGACCCATACCTAGAGTGAATTAAATGAAAAGAGTCAACAATGAGATATGCATCAAAGATGAAACAAATAATATTATTAAATAGAGAAATCAATTGAGAGCATTAAAAGGGATATCAATAGAGAGCTTCGATGAAGAGTATTGATGGAAATCAATGATTGCCAGGAGCAAAAAACATAAAAGATCAAGAGAGAAGTAGAGAACAACAGTGATATCACTGCAATATAACAATTGTGCTTGAATAAGGTATGCATAAGCTGAAGTGCAAAGGCAAGGAGGTAGAGGTCCAGTATATCTTTGTGAAAACAAGTACGAGCAGTAGATGTGCAATGAGATATTGAAAATTCTATTAATATTTTTTTTTTATTCTACCAATAGAAATGTATTTTTTCATTATCATTTCAAACATCAAATAGCCATTCAATGTGTAATCTACCTCTATATTGTCAGACCCCTACCTAGAATGAATTAAATGCATAAAGTCAACAATGAGATAATGCATCAAAGACGAACAAATAATATTATTAAATAAAGAAATCAACTGAAAGCATTAAAAGGGATATCAATAGAGAGCTTCGATGAAGAGTATTGATAGAAAGCAATGATTTTCAAGAGGAACATCAAACATAAAAGATCAAGAGAGAACAACAGTGATAGGCCATTGCAATATAACAATTGTGCATAAGGGATGAATAAGCTGAAGTGCAAAGGAAAGGAGGTAGAGGTCTGTGAAATCAAGTATTTCCTATTCACTTTTACAACAACTCTCAAGACAAACTGCTGTCCACAGCAGGAAAACAGCCCAAAACTGAGGAAAAACGGAGAAAAACTGCAGGAAACGTGGAGAAAAGACTTGTATTTTACTAATAGATGTAAGGAAAATAGCAAAGATACAAGGATCCTCTATTCGAGAGGAGGATCGCGCTCTCCCAATCTCTAGAATTCGATCTAGAGCCCTAGCCACCAAAGAAGAACAAGAAAACTCCAAGCAAATTTCACATAACCCTAATCTATCCTTTTCTCCCTACTTAATGCATAAAATTCAAAAATAACATAAAAGGACTTAATTGCCCTTGCTTCCACTCCTTTTGGCTCCAAGATTCAATTTGAAAAACAAGTGGACCCCACCTATTCCCTCCCTGCTGTTTCCGCCGGCTCCCTTGCCGGTTCCGCCGTTTTCCTTCTCCCGTAAACGAACAGAGCCGGCCCAATGGATTGGGCCGGCTGGACCGGTCTAACAGTCTGGCATATCTTTGTGAAAACAAGTACGAGCAGCAGATGTGCAATGATAGAAGAGGTGGAGTTGATGTAGTGAAATCATCATACTGCAATGGGAATAACAATGGTGTACACATCAGTGTCTCTAAGATCTAGTGCTTGCACTTATTGATAGTGATTCTTTCAAGTTTAAGATCTTCATTTACATGTGTGAATCAAAGAACATGTCCTATCATAGCTTGAACTTGATCATGTTGGGCATCAAGTGGTGGGAGCATAGCCGAGCAATATCGACAACAATGAGGTATTGAAGTAGTGTCAGTTGTTGAGGCTTGATTAGGATATAAAGGAAGTCACCAGCAAGATCATAGGCATGGGTTAGAAGTTCTAGAGTGAATGATAATGGCCCTCACAAAAGTGACACACGTGCATTGAATTTAGACATTGGGAAGGTCGAGGCTTTAGGCATGGAGTCCAATGTAGAAGCTTATTAGTTTAAATCAAGAAATAAATACAAAGATAACTAGGGTCAACTGCTGATATTAGCAACAACTCCAATGAGCTATATAAGTTAGCCTAAGAACGCATTGTGAATTGTTCTTTGATCGGTGCTCTAGCAACCTACTAGTGATGACAACATGTGTGTATCAAAAAAGCAACGATAATAGAAATGATATTTTGCGAAAGTATAGAGATCGGCAAATGAAAGGGATAATGGCCTTGAGGTGATGAATGTGGATACTTTGAAAGAAAGTAAAGACCACAATGAATTTGGCTCTAACAAAATGTTAAGGGAAAGAATTGTAAGGGAATATATCTTATTTTATTGTCTTACTAGTGCAAACACATGTGCCAATATTTAGACAATATCAGAGAATAATAAAAGGAGGATATCCACAATAATGAAGAAATATAGAAACAAAAATAGTGTATATTCTAAATATATTAAACCTGACCATATTGAACATCAGGTGGTTGATTCAATCAAGCAATCTTAACAAATACTAATCATAGAAGCCATGATGGTTGTTGATACCTGATCGAGTATGAAGATGGTTAAGGAAGAGTTGATGAGGACATTTGAGGACATTTGGGTTAGATGTGCTAGAGTGCATGGTGACTGCCTGCGCAGAAGCTAATTAAGAGCACTATGTTTAGATACTGGGAAGGCGGAGAATTGTACATGGGAGTCTAGCCTAGTAGCTCATGAATTCTAGAAAGGGAATAGAGCGCAAAGACAACTAGGATCCATTTGTGATCTCAACAGCTACTCCAAAAACTATTGCAGGGAGCTATAAAAATTAGCCTAAGAAATTATTGGGAATTGATACTTGATCGACTCCAGCAAATGGCATTGATGCTCACATGTCTGGATCGAAGAGTAATTGCAACAAAGGATGGAGGTTTGCCAAAGGCATAGAGATTTGCAAGTGAAATGTTATGGTAACCATTGAGACAATGAACGTGACTGGTCCAAAGAAAATAGACGATCAAAGTGAAGTTGGCTCGCATCTAATATTAGAAGAGAGAAAAAACTGTAACGAATCATCTCCTTATTAAATTATAATGAACTACATCTCTATTGAATTTTCTTACTTCTACAAAAATATATGCGCCTATTTACAGGGAAGAGAAGATGCTAATAAACTTATGATAAAAAGGAATATCACAATAATAAGGAATATAACAATAATGAATATGGTAGATTCTTACCCGTCAGCAGGAATTCCTCTCCTCTACCTGGGACCACCAATGAGCTGCACCGTACAGCCGTACCACACCCAAGGATGGGCTTTCTATTGGTGCTTGGAAATGTGGTGACTAGAAGAGGAAAAGGCAAAACCAGGAGTAAGAAAGATCAAGTTACCACACAACCTCCTAAAGACCAAGGTACTCGGCAACCTGTTGAGCCTCCTATCCAATTCTCAGCCGAGAAGTTACAGCAATTGGAAAAAACTTCTTATAGGATCGTGAACTTTCGCAAACAACAACCAAGAATGTCCAAGTCTCGCTTAGACAGAGAGCTCCTCCGACTTGGGTCTTTAAGTTCATTAGCAACCTCCACGAGGAAGAGGAAGAAAACTTCTACAGATTCCACAGGCAAGGACTTGGTCCCCTCAAGTGTTTAAGAAGTGACCTCTTCTCATTTGTTTGTATTGGGTTTTGTTGTGCAATACAAACTAATGAAGGTCTCCTCCTTCTCACTTGAGGGGTTTTCTTTCTGTTTATTTGACATTTGTTTGCGGCTTGGTTTGGAGTGCTTTACTAGTTGTAGTCCTTCCCCTTTTGTCTTTGGGAAGTGGCAATCTTTCCCTTACCAGCATCTGTTAATCTGACAGGGAAAAATTAGGAAATTTTAAATATAACAGCGTGTGAATTTACAATGAACGTTTATAATTCAAGACCACGAAAATTTTAGTTGTGCCATGGGGACAAACCTTCCCATGGACTGTTGAATGGCCTATAACTGGCTGGTTATCCTCATTCTCTTTAGCTGGTAGATGCCTCCAATCATTGAAAAAAGGTGTCTCCAATACACGCTGTGGAGCATTGGGCCACCTTGAACGTCCGAAAACATTTGTGTACTCAGTTTTTTCATACTCAACAAGCTTTCTTTTGTATAAAGGATGGGCAAAACTTTCAATTGTGGCAACAAACCTGTAAACAAACTATCATTTATGAATAGGAATTGTTACTTTAGTATCCAAGCATATTAACATGAGGAGCATAGCAAATACCTAGTTCCAAGACAAACACCATGAGCTCCAAGGGCAAGTGTAGCAACATAACCACGACCATCTACTATACCACCTGCGGCAATCACCGGAATACTTCGATTAACTGCCAAATCCACTATTCTCGGTATAAGTGTTATTAATCCCTCCTGACAAAAAGGAATGAACCTTCAATAAAAGTAATACAGAAGTTTATCTCGCAAAACTAATAAACACAAGAATAACTATTTCTCCTAGTGCTTTTAGCAAGCATGCAAATAACATAATCTAAACACAAAATTATGATAGTTGCAATGCAGTCATCTTCTTAACATTAATTTTTATCATGGATGTTCCAAAATGCTAAAAAAAATTTACTTTTCTCCAAGCCATCGACATAAAGAATAACCAGTTTTTAAACAACAAAAATGTTGTACCTAGTAGTATTGTGTGGAATCTGATTGTGTCAATCAATAATGTTGTACTGCTTCTTCGGACCTCAATTATATCGGTTGAGCTCACTAGGAGGTTTTAGGGGGTCCTCTCCCTACATGGATTCCAAGGCTTTGCACAATTTTTTTTCAAACAACCTTACAGCATTGCGACGTTGTGTATACAAGCATCGCGGCCTGTATAGTTTGCTTGGAAACAGATAGAGAGCGGAGCGTTGCGGTGGTCTAAACCCCAGCGCTGTGGCATTGTCAGGAAGACAGAAGACAAAGAGCTAAGCACCGCGGCCCTCCAAACTTGGCGCCGCAGTGCTGCGAGACAAACTGGTAGTTTTATTTCTCATTTTTCGTGCGAGTTGTGCCCCTTGATAGTTTATGTCAGATTCTCTTTGTTTATTTTGTAAGAGAACAGTGCAACGGCGAAGAGAGACGAGAGAGCGAGAGAGAAGAGAGATAAGTACTATTTCTCACAAATATTCATAATGAATTTCTTGGTGTGGTGTGGCTCCGTGGTTTTTTCTAATTTCGGATTTTTTCACGTTAAATCATGGTGTTCTTTCTTTCCGCAAAACTTTCTCCTTTTTGTTTCTATTCACTGCGTAGTTTACTTCCCCAACAATACCTAAGACTTAATAAAAACTAAAAAGTTTCCTCCATCCATAAGCTGATACATAAATCATTCCTACTGGGTGTCATAGTGTTTACAAATTAAAATATTAAACAAAAAGATAGAAAAGTGAAAAAAAGTGAAAGACATGAAGAGAAGGGTATCAATGCCTTGGGAGAATTGCAGCCTACTACTTTGCCCATTATATACTATGCAGCTGTCAAACTATTAGAGTAAAGCATTCTAGTGTTTACATAAAAGTATAAAATTATAGTTCTGATTGACAAATTAAGTTTATGTCATTAGATGGAATTAATATGGAATAAAATTGAAAATTTTAAATATGGAGAATTATTTTGATTTTATGTCAAAATGCTCGAGCATAACAGCAACTTGCATTTACAAAAATTGAGAAAGGAGTAGACATCAAATAATTCTCTTAATGATTTTCATGAACTTGAAGGGCATGTTATAGTACCAAGGCCCTTAATATGGTGAATGTTAAGTTTGCCTCAACATTATTGTATCCAATAAACTCATTAGCGAAATTATATTTCACAGCATCAAGATATGTTGCCTAAGATCTTGATAAAGCAATTTAGATAAGACTAGTGCTAATTGGATGGATACCTTTTATAGTTACATTTGTTGGTGGATTTTTTCTCATGGTAAACTAATTGAGGAGACCTATAGCTTTAATTATCTAAGTAAGAGGACAAAATGAGATGAGGCTATATTTAAAGCAGTTTTTTTGGAGTATTGTGCATTCTTATGTATCTCACAGTGCAAATTTAAAATAATTTTATGGCCCTTCCTTCATAACAAATAGTTGGAAACATGTATAGTATAGAATTTTCTTATTCATTGTCTGTTCAGGAAAAGATGACACTACGCCACGAACCTTGGTCTCTCAAGCCTAAGGTCCCTTTTTTTCCCGAGATAGATTAGATTTTAAATTAACCAAATTTCTCCTGATGATCGGTTTTAGGGTTTATTTAATTCTGAGGTTCCACTTCATATAAGTGCAAGCCCTCATAATTAACTATCCCTCCTAATGCGTAGAAGATAACTCTTGATTAAGGATGAATTGATGTTTAGACATACAACAATTTTAAATTTTGGTTGTTGGGATGGAGGTAAACTCGATCAAGATCACATGGTTCCAGTTTAGACGAGCAACAGGTAAGGTTTTAGTTTACCAACACTAACAATCATTGATTGTAGTGTCCAGAGAATCTGATTAGCAATCATTGGTTGCCTCCTCTTAAGGATCCCTAGTAAACTAAAGTGGATAGAAGTAGGTTATTTGGTTTGGATTGGGACACGCGGCTCCGCTTAGAAGTTGCCCGTAGTTTAGATTTAGATTGAGACTTGCAACTCCGTTTAGGAGTTAACTGTATGTTTGAATTTGGGTCAGGACTTATAGCTTTCATTAAAAGTAGCCCATATGGTAAGTCTTACGACATAACTTAGAAGTGGACCATATAGCATATCTTACAGCTTCATTTAAAAGTGGCCCATATAACGGGTTTTACAACTTCACTTAGAAGTGGCCCGTATAGAGGGTCTTACAACCTCTATTAGAGGTAGTCCAGGTTATTAGGAATGTGTTATTTGTTCTTAGAAATTTTTTCCTAACACCCTGATTAAAGTGGGACTTACGGACTCCAATAGAGGTGGCCCGGGTTATGAGGGATTTATGGTTAGGCTATTTTTACCTAGAGATTTCCCTAAAGTTGGATTTACGACTTCTATTAGAAGTTGTCGGTGAAGTTTAGGTGTTTACTGCTTCACTTAGTAGATTTACTTTGTGAAATAGTTATCAATAGTTTTTACTATTTCTATTATAAGTGACCTATAGGGCTTAGAATAGTGAGGACATAGTTTTACGCACTTCATTGCCTAGATATCGGTATTAGCGTCTTGTTTTACTTACCGTAACAGCTTTAATTTCAGTACTAGCACTTTTTACTAGTTTTGCTTCAGTACCAGCCTTGCCTACAGTAGTAGCTTTGCTTCTTTCAAACACTAGTTTTGTTCTTCACAGTGCTAATTTTGTTCTTTTTGGTACTAGTTTTATTCTAACAGTACTAGTTTTGTTTTACCAATACCAGTTTTGTTTTACCAGTACTAGTTTTATTTTAGTATACTGAACTGATGATGCAATCTAGGTTCTAAAACAAGTAGGAAAACACTAGGAATGCAAATGAAAAAACTCTCATTCAATATAATATAAACAAACACAAATATTGGAAACTAAGTAGGAAACAAAACTTAGAAAATTGTTGGGAAGACATATGAAATAACCAAACAAATATATTAAAATACCCTCAAAACAGCCTTAAAAGGACACCTCACATGCAAATCCCGAAAATAGGGAAAGATGCTCAAAAGAAAAATCAAACTAGTAGTTCGCCACAGAAATTTAGATCCAATTCAACCAACACTCCTCTAGCAAATACTAGCAAAATAGGGCTCAATAACATCATTCAGCTCACAACTTTTTTGAGAAGAAAGATACAGGTGGAAGGATAACCGTGGAGAGAAGACCGAGAATCATAACAAGGATTAAGAAGAAGATAGCTCGCAAGTTTAAAAGAAACCCTCGGGTTTGAACTTGTATTCACCAAAAACAAACTTTTCCAATGGCAACTCATACACTATTTATAGAAGAAAAAAGGGGAAATAACATTTAATATCCCATATAGATGTGCCACCAAAACAGCCACTAAAACCCCTCCAAATCAGCTCATACATTGAGAAGTCAAAGCAAGCAGCATAGGGATCAGCAAGGGGAAAAATCGAGTAGCCAGCAGCAGGGAAACCAAGAAAACAAAATGGAAAATGAGTATCCAGCAACAGGGAAACCGAGCAGCCACATGGAGAAAACAAACAGCCACCATGGGAAGCCCAAATTTCTACATGGGAACACCAAACAACCATATGGGGAAACCAAACAGCAGCAGAGATTTGAGGAGACACAATAAAAAGAACACCAAATGGAGTGAAACTACCTAAAAGCATCAAGCCCAAGCATGATCATGGGTTCTTCTCCAGCATAGGGTAATACAAATCTCTGTTTAAAATTGCGCAATAAGAGGCGCGCCTTGAGACGCGCCTCTGTGCAATTTGACCCAAAAATGCCTTGAGGCTTACGCAATTCCTCTCCTGGCAGAGGCGTATGCCTCACCTGGTCTGAGGCGTACACCTCATAGAACCGGCCCCACCCACTTAAAATGAGGCATTTTCTCCCCTTAATCCTGCACGGCTTCCAGGTTATCCCGAAATTTTCCTTCCTGCAGCCTGTGTTCGCGAAGCAGAGGGGTTCCTACACGGTCGGCTTCCCTTCCCGCCACCTCTCCCGTCGGCGCCGCCTCTCTCCGACGAACTTGAAGTGTCCGGCCGCCCTCTAGTTGTACTTCACAATCAATTTTAGGTATTTTTTTTAGTTTAGGGCTAGATTTTTCAAGTGAAAGAAAATCTAGGGTTTTTTATTTTTTAAATTTTTTGTGTTTTTGGATTTTTAAATTCTTATTTATGCAATTCTGCGTCCGTGAGGCTTACGCCTCACACCGCCTCGAGGCTTACGCATCGCCTCACGGACGAAAATCGCCTCGAGGCTTAATTACGCAATTTTAAACCTTGATACAAATAAAAAGAAGCATAAAGTCTAAAACATAGAAAAATAAAAACATCCAAACATAGAAAGATTAAAAAACATATAATGATAATTATTGATTCCATCAACTGATGCTTTGTTTGTTTACCAAAAGGTAAATTGTGCTTGCAACTATTTGATGAGTTTGGAAATACAGGCTACTACCAAGGAAAAAACCGTAAGCCCGCTACATGGGCTACTTTCAATGAAAGTCATAAATCCCGACCCAAATCCAAACATACGGGCAACTCCTAAACGGAGCCGCAAGACCCAACCTAAATCTAAACTACGGACAACTCATAAGCGGGGCCGCAAGTCCGAACCCAAACCAAATCAACCTACATCCATCCACTTCAAAATTTACTCTGAATGCTGAGAGGAGGCAACATAAGTCTGCTAATTAAATTTCTTGGACACTACAATCAACGGTTGTTAGTGTTGGTAGATTGAAACCTACAACATACCCGGGACGATGGAATAATGGGATCTTGATCAGGTTTACCTCCATCCCCACAACCAAAATTAAAATAGTTACACATCTAAAAATCGATTCATCCTAAATTAAGAGTTCTATTTTACATGTTAGGAGAGGTAATTAACTATGAGGGCTTACACTCATAGGAAGTGGAACCTTAGAACTAAATAACTCTAATGCCGATCATTGGGGGAAATCTAGTTAATTTAAATTATAATCTACATCGGGGGAAAATGAGACCTAAAGCTTGTGAAAGCAGGGTTCATGCCGTCCTGAGCGAACATTCACTTATCTCAAAAGATTTGAAGATCCCCTTTTTGGTAGATTTTGTAAATATTTGGGGAAGACAGAATCCTTTCGCACTATTTATTTGCACATATGTAAGGCAATGGCTCATTTTTTAGGATGTAGGCTACAATCAAACAACATAAATCTTGATGGTTTATGAAAAATTATTTGCTATTTCCTTTGTGAATCCATAAAATGTGATCTTGGTAGGCACTTTAGTGTGAAAAATCATAAGCTGGGTTCACTTAATTGAACAATCATTTGATCTTGCAACTTGAATTAGAGCAACTTATTATAACATACTAGTATCAAAGCCTAATGAAAAGAACTTTAATAGCTCAAATAATTATAGGAATTGGAGAGCCAACTACTTGTATGATGCTCCAAAAAGAACTTCTAAAGGCACATAATGTTTGAGGCTCTAGGTAAGAAGAATTTGGAAAAGAAAGCTCCCACGACAATCCATTTATGATTATTTAAAGAAGACGTGAAGACGACAACAACAAAAGAGTATTGGCTTAAGCTAGATTCTTCGTAAGGTGAGTATCATTTTGGTCCTTTAGATCTAGTTTCATGCTTTATATCTATTAATAATCTCAAAACTGTCAACTTTAGCCCTTAGCATCTTTTAAAATTTCATTATGATCCCTTGGCTAGGTTTCTAGTCAACATAAAGGTCTATTTTTGTCGATGGCATAAATAATTCATAGATTTAATTGATACTACATTTTTAACTTAAATTTGAAATAAATTTATTTATAATGAACAAAATACCTTGATGGTAAATATTTTATATTGTTATATAACTAAGTCATTGTCCAACGAGGTTAAGCACCACATGCTGTCGACATCAAGAAGAGGAAGAAGAATATGAGAGGAAGAAGAAGAAGAAAAACCTATATGAAGTATGACCTAAACATATTGGGGATCAAATAGGATGATTTTTAATCACAGAACAATGTGAAGTGTGGCCCAAAGCCTGAGGGACTTGCATGATATTTACTTCTTTGTAGATGACCCAAAACCTCTCCAACAAATTCTATTTGAAAGATAGCTTATACTTGCTTCACAAGCAAAAAGACATGCATATTAATTCTATCTTAATCAATTAAATTACAACATATTAAGGATTTAAGAAGTTAAAACATTAAGATTAATAATGAGTATCAAATTTTATAAATATTATGTTCTCTACCTCCCTTCCGTAAGTATTATGTTACAATCATATTATGATAGTAATCCAATTAGCTTAAAATATGCAAGATTTCACTTCTATTTAAATTGTGTTGCTAAGCTTAATTAAGGGTTTAGGAGACGGTCAACATGCTTATGGTTTGTTGGTTATGGCAAACTAACTGTAAAAGGCAAAGACCAATGAAATTATTGTATTTGGACTGAATGAACCACATCAAAAAATATATATTATAGTATGGAGATAAATATGGTTCAAAAAATTTGACCTAAGAGGATGTGGGCAAATAGAACAGAAGTAAAAGAAAATAATAAAAATATTCAACAGGAAAATTACTGTTAAAGAGTTGGGAAATAAAAGGATGGGGGTGTAGGTGGATGTAATTAATAATCAACAGACAGGCATACAAAATGAGGTGGGCTTGTTAGGAAAATTTGAAAATTCTCTCACTACCAAATAATTATATCAGCAGGCTAATTAATATACAATTAGTTCTTTGAATGAATCTATAATTAGATTATTAATAAATATCCTAATTTGCAAAGTTTTTGTTTACAATTACCAAAAAAACAAGCAATTGCTTTATTAATTGGCATAATACCTGGCCAAGAACATGCCCCCCTGCTTCACGACTTTGAACAATAAGGGCATCAACACCAGCATCAATGGCTTTGCGTGCATCTTCTACACAACCAACCTGGTTCGACAAAGAGGAAAGGGAAGATTACAAGATTTCTTATGGAGAATTGGGAGGATATGCTAGTAAATTAAGTGGTTTCAAATTTAAAAAAAAAAAAAAACAAACAAACACTTTAAGCTTATCGCCAATTATAAATAGTTAGTTATAGTTATCAGTAGAAAAATCAGAGAAAAATACACGTATTTTCCAAATTTGTACAAGGTTAATCAGACAACCTTAGAACGAACACACACATCTTTATCACAGCAAAAATAATAATAAGTTGCAATGCAGAAACTTAAGAAACTATATACACAAACGTAAGAGAAGAATAAATATCTATAACTAGCGCAATATGCAGAAAATAACTAAAGGATCTTGGTTAAATTTGGGGCAATTGCTCGGTTCACAAAGCATAGCTATAGCAAAAAACGATAAAGAATATTAGAATATCGATAGTAGACAAAAAATTTAGTAAAATGTCTTTCTTTTGAATTCATCATCATACAGGAAAAATTCATGTTAAGTAAGATGAGAAGTTGAACTGAGAATGACAAATATCAAACAAAACCATTATATTTTAACATTTCATAAATTAATGTACCATCTACAGAGTCAGAAACCAAGACACTTTAGTTACAACGAAAATTGGAATAAATGACATTAGTATATTATGAAGCTTGGACACCTCTGAAGATGTATCAAACAAGAATCCAACAGGACCCACACATCCAATACTCATAACACTCTTTAGAACGACTAATTTTAAGCCAAGGAGTATCATATGCATTAAATTAGTCATATATCCCCTCTCCTTTACAAAGGAGGAAAAACTAACTTTAAGAAAAGTATAGATTTAATTCTTAATTAAGGAGAGTGTGAAAATTGTACAAAACAGGATTGCAGGTTGTACTGAAAAGACCTCAACACAAGCTAAAGTAATGAACTTGATATGGGAGATGGAAATTGGAAGACAAGTCATCAAGATTTGGGCAGCAGAAATATATGACAATAGATGCCTAAAGTATAACATAACAAAGCAAATATTGATTCTATTCACGGATTAATGCTAAGAAAAGAAATCAAGATCCAAAGATTCATGACAAAGGAAATCAAAACCAAAAGATTATTTATATAGAATTATAGATAGATAGACCCATAGAGAGATAGATAGTAGATAGACCATGTCACCTACCTATAGAAAAGAACTGCATAAATGATTTAGAAAAAAAAATCAAAAGAACACTCACTTGATGAATGACCTTGACCCCTGCATCATGAGCCTCGGAAACAAGCTCCTTAGGGTAGTCACCCCACGACACTAGCAATACTGCAACCTTTTCCTCTAGTATAACCTTAATATTCTCCTTGTGGGGAAATGCCAGAACGACCCCTACTCCAAATGGTTTGCCTGTCAATGTTCTTGTTTTTTGAATCAGCTCCCTAACAAAATCAGGTGCCTCCTGCATATATTTTTTTCAATATTAGTCGTACTAACGAAATCAGCTGAGCATGTATTACTCAATAAAGGTAATCAGAGAAAATATGAATCAAACTAAAAAATACAAGCATGATAACAAATTCACAGAAGAAATGACAACTTCCTAAACTTTGATGAAAATTTTTAAGCAAGCAAATACAAGTGTATATTGTAAGACTGCAGGAACTAATCAAAGCAAATGAAATGGGAATGGGTTCTCTGCCTACCTTTCAATCAACAAAGGATCCGCCTAGCAGAAACTTCTCGAAACAAAATACTATAGAAAAAAAACATAACAAGGATTTAGGATTACCCAATCAGGAACTCGGAGAGTACCGAGGGCGCCAGCGTTGGCGACGGCTGCGACGAGCTCGGGGCCAGAAATGTCTGGGCCAAGAGGGCCCTGGATAATTCCATACTCGAACCCTAGAATCCCTCTCCAACCCATTGGCAGATCGACCTGATGATGAACAGAAAACCGTCCGATCAAAGAAGGTTAATATAGCTAGGAAAGCTCGCCAGCCGCTGCTGCACGTAAGTGCGGACGTCATGGACGCAGCGGCGGCGGCGCCTTTTTCGTTTTCCGCTGGGGTTGTGATCAGCCAGTAAGTGATTTTTGTCTGATTTCGGGCAGGCGCGAGCGGAGGTGGAATTTTTCTGAGTGAAAAAGGAAAAACATATATTTTTTAAAGTAATATTTAATTTAAGCTTCGTTTGAGATCACTTGTTTCCTACGCAACTCTCCTTGACCTATTGGTTGAGAGCTTAGGCTTTGCCTTAAATTATCTAAATTTCCCAAAAAAAAAGATCACTTGTTTCCTGCTATTCGAAGTAATTTTTTAATAAAAAATTAAAATTTGTTTATTAAAAATTTATTTTAAAAAAGTGATAAGAAAGTCGTCCCAAACGAAGCCTTAGTCTGAACCTTTTTTTTTAGGAATATGAATTTCATTAAAATAATGATAAACTAGATAAGACAATAGGGGCCGTTGTTTCGAGGGAAAAAATATTTTTTTTTTAAATCGGTTCGGACCGGTCGATTCAACCAGTTCAACTGTGAGCTGGTCGGACATCCTGTCCTATCAAATGTCAAAACTGTGATTGAGTGGAACCTCACATGACTGTAGCAAAATCGCGGTTGAATCGATCGGCAGATTGGAAGAGTTCGAAGAGAACCGCATGGTCTTAAAATTAGGTATTATAGGCGGTTGATTCCGAATCGAATTGTGGTAATTATATGAACTATTTCTTAAACCCTAATTACTAATTCCATTCGATATTCACCTTCTATGTTCTCTCGTCCTCGATTCCGACTCCATTCCCGACTACCTCCCAAATCAAACGTCCATTTGTGAGCCACTGCCTGAGACGAAGGCCCCGTCGGAGCTAGTCGTATTCGCTGGCATCTCCTCTAGCCTCAATCCATACTCAGCCTCCTTCAAAACTATTTCTCACGCGGAATAATTGTATTCACTGGCATCTCCTCTTGTATCTTAATTTGTTCAATTCATTAAGCATTTGAGTTTTGATTTTATTTTCATCCATTTCACTGGCATCTTCTCTTGTATCTTAATTTATTAGTTTATGATTTTAGGATTTTGATTTTTCTTATAGAAAGGAAAAATAATTTGATAAGAGTGGTTTTAACTGGCTCTAGAAGCCCATTTTGAAAATTTTGTATAACCTAATGCTTGCCTTCATTGTGTGAAATCATTTGGAAGCATAAAGAAGCAAATCACATGTCAAAGGAAAAAAAATTGCTTCTTATGCTTATATTCAAATATGACAAATGTGTTGCATATGCAAGGGTACTCTTTTGTTATCAAAACTTCATCATGGACTTAAGAATAAGTAAGATGCTTTTCTTAGCATAATTTATATCTTATTTGGTATATGGCTATGAATGTGCTTGGAATTGATTTGATGCAAGAATATTTGCATTGCACAGGAAGATGCTAGACATGGGGTCAAGTGATACAACATTTCCATTTGGGTTAAATTTCCAAATCTCCCTCTTAATTATGGGAGTCCTAATGAAATCTCAGATTGTAAGGAAAACGTGTGTTCTTACTATTGAAAATTTATTGCAAGTAAACATAAACTAGTCTCTATTAGAGTACATACAATTCAATAACTCGTCCCCCTTCCTAATGCATTCTAGCTTAATCCAAATGGGATGTTCATTCACCAAACTTTGTGTATTAATAAAATTTTAGCTCATGCTCTATTTTCAGATCTTGGGTCACTTATTGATTATCTGCCATTGAAGAAAAGGGACAAATCCCAACAATTAGACATCTAATTTAGGAAGGAAAATAAGAATAAATAGCTTAGACATTAAATAAAATAACCTTTTTATATACCTTTTACTTAATTTCCATTTCTATTTTCTTTCAGGTTGCAAACCCTCGTAAACACATCCTCATTACTCTTCTCTTGAACTCCTAAATTTACAACTTACTCTCCCCTCCTCTCCCTTCAACTTACTCTAGAGTATCTATAAAACTTAGCACTAATCTCCCTAATTGCACCTTTTCACTCACCATTCCAATGCCATATCTTTTTATATTACCTTGAAAACTCAAGACAAATAAATCATAACTTTAGGCTCTTCTTATATACATCACTATTCTCTATATTCATACGTCCATTACATGATTTATAATTAGAAATTAATGAACTTTCATAATATATGAAAAAAATATAGAATGGGTCAAGTATTTGTTAATTATTGCATTTAAAACCAACAATCATATAAAGGATATCATTAAACTTTGCATCATTTGAAATTTTATATATTGTTTTATCTTCTTAATGGTTGCCACATGCCTATTGATACCTCTTCTTTATTATTATTATTATTATTATTTAACCTCTTATTTGTGTATATTGAATTGTCCTCTTTATTAACTGTGTTTTCAATAAATTTTTTGTTATTTGCTTTTATGATAGAATTCTAGCTAGTGGCACAAAAACCAACTGATAATCCACTAAAAATTTGTTAGTATTATTATTGATTCCTTTTGCATGTAAATCCTTTGATTTTTTTGAAGTTATCTATAATTTCCATCAAGATTTTATTGCCATTACACACAACTTGATCATTATATGTGATCTTCATCTTTTTTTTTTTTTTTCATTTATCATAGTTTGTATTTTTGAATGTCCAATAAGAGTCTTTACAATATTATATTGAAAATGATAAAGCATCTTAGTTCTTTAATAGCTAAATTATTTTTAGCTTGACAAGTTTCTGAATCGCAACTTTATTGCTATCAATCTCAAAATAATGCTCTCATAACAAATTATTATAATAGCTCAACCAAAATATTTGAAATAAAGTATCACTAATATCAATAATGAAGCTTCACATTAATCATGCGAAGATGCATTTCTTTCCATTGCTGGACTTCTACCTGATGCTGTCCTACTGATCTTTGTCGTCAGACTACAGTCCTTCCGACCTCTGTCGCTAGCCGACTACGGTCCTCCTAACTTACGTCGCCCGCCGACTACAGTCTTTCTGACATCCGTCGCCCGTTGAATACGGTCCTCCTGACTTATGTCGCCCGCCGACTACAGTCCTCCATCGCCAGCTGACTACGGTCCTCCTAACCTACGTCGCCCGCCGACTACAGTCTTTCTGACATTCGTCGCCCGTTGAATACGGTCCTCCTGAATTATGTCGCCCGCCGACTACAGTCCTCCGTCGCCAGCTGACTATGGTCCTTCTGACCTACGTCGCCCGCCGACTGCAGTCCTTCTAACAAAGTGAATACGTCGATAGTAGCTCTTTGTATTTACATTATGTAATGTACTCCATAAGATGTACATCAAGCTAAGTCCTTCTCACAAAGAAGGGCCTCATTTGTAATCGACTGCAAATACTAGTGGATTCGTTCAAACTGGGCTAGGCCCCGTGGTTTTCCCCCCTTTTACAGGGGTTTTCCACGTAAAAATCTTGGTGTCTCATAAATGCTAGACCCTATCTCCTTATCTGATTGCGTGCCAGATTTTTGTACAACGCTAAGACGATAAACTTAATATTTCTCTACCGCCGTGAATACTCCTGGACGCAACATTAATTATCCATTAATTGGATAAGAATTTAATGTTCTTCTTCAACTACCCTTAATGAGCTCAACTCCATCTAGCTTGTATTAAAGTTAAAATCAAAAGGGTCTAAGGATATGGTTGGGACTTATGACAGCTGTTCGATTGATTTTATATTAAAAAAAGTAATCAATAAAAGTTATGTGCATCCCGTCTATTCGATCTCTTGTTCACAAAAAATGTTGTGGCTGGCAAAAATTTGCACCTCATTGTGTGGAATAAGACCTGCTTACCTACTAGTTTGGGGGTCTAGGTATCCCGTATATTCAGTCTATGTATCATGGTTATGGATGTTCCTTTATTTAGGATGAAAGTATTATGCACTTATTTTTCCTATGTGAATTTTTGTTTATGTTATCTCTTCTCTTCTCCTGTTTTTTGAGTGTTTATCATTACGCTGGCATTGTTGCAAGCTTTTGAGTTTAATGGAGAGTTACATCACTTAAACTACGGAGAAGAATTTCTGTTTTCTAGTGATTTGCGGCTCTGTTTACTTCATTGGGAGGGAACACAATGTTAAGCCTTTTTGATAATTCTGAAGCCTCTCCTCACTTCGTCCGCACTAAAATTATAAAAGTTATCTCTGCGAGTATTTTTAAATGGAAAAATTATGATGCAATTCACCTTGCCTCCCTTCGTGCTTCAAGTCTTTTTTGGGACAATGATGTATGGATCCGACCTCTTCTCTAGGACTCCCCTTGGATGGCCCCGGTGTTCCTCCCCTTCAATCTGCATTTGGCCTGGCCTTTTTGAGCACTCTGTAGTAATGTTCGTTAGATGGTCCGCTCGCAACCAGGGGTTCCCAATTTTGGTGGGTCTCAGTGTTGGACCCTGGACTGATGCTTTCATGATTATGGTCTTATCCAATTTGGTCATGTCCTCTTTTTACTGAGTCCTTTCTGATTTTTGGTCTCTTTTTCTGCGGACCTTTCTCCTTTTTTTGTCATTTTTGTTACAGCTCTCTTTACAAGTCATTTACTTATAAATTGTTATAGAGTTGTTGTAAGACTTTAGCTTATTTCTTTTATTGATACGTACTTTGCCCCCAATTTCCCAAAAAAAAAAATGCGCATCATGATAGTTTTTACATAATTGTTTAAAATTTTATCTTTAAAAATTTTTTTTTTTTGTAAGAAAATATTTGTGTTTGAAAAAAAAAATAGCTTTTAAAAGCATAATCAATATAGCCTAAGTTGTTCTAGATGAAATTTAAATGACTTTTAAGTCATGCTTACATAATCGGAAAAAAAAAGCTCCAAAAAATTTGTAGTTAATAAAAAAGAATAATATTCTATTTGCATCTAAAATTTTACCGGCATAAACAAGCCCAATATATATAGGTGCGATTTCTTGAGCATCCCAACAACTTCTTTTGTTTATTACAAATAATTATATATAGCCACCTAAAGGATTCCAAATGAGCAAATAACAGAATAAGTACTATTTTTTAAAAGATATTTAAGTCAGTTAAGGTAAACTCTTACACATAACATATATGCAAGACTCAAACTCAAAATCTTTTGATCGGTACTTA